CCACAAAAAAAATCGGCAATCACAAAAAGAAATCGACAATTAATGGTATTCCTTGTTTGCCACCATTGCAAACTTCAAATATTAAAAATATTTAGAGGTCAATGAAACGCAACCTAATGAAAACTAAGTCTATTTTATTTCATAACTTTTTTTCTATAGGTTATTTCTTAGTACATTATATTAAAACAACGTTTTATTTCTAATTTAGAGTCCAATACAGAAAAGTGTGAGATTATTACAATAATAAGGAAAACATACAAATACAGCACACCTCCCAACATAATAATTAAAAACTCTTTTCTTATCAGACTTAATTGTGAAAAAATGTAAATCAAATACATATTGTATCTCAATTCTGTCTGTATGAATACTTCCAAAAGTTTGAAAAGCGAATTTTACGGTTATTTTGTATCTATGATTTACATCTTTCTTTTTTCTTATCAACATACAGAGCCCAAAGATTTACAGAAACCCAGTACTTGAAACTCCGATATCAGATCTGAAATTTAATGAAAAAAGAAAAATCAATAAGTTATTTTGTGAGTGTAAGACATAATACAGGGTTGTCCTTGTGACACAGTGGTTAGAGCGTTTGGTCTTGAGTCTTAGAGATGATTCTGAAGTCGCCGGTAAAATTCCCACTGCGGTACGTGTCCTTCGGATGAGACCCTGTCGCAGTACATGATGGCAAAAAATATCCCTCATTGTCTGAGTGTAGAGCATAGGTCTAACTTTGCAGCTCTCCGCATGCAAGTGGTGGCGTCTTCATATGATTGAAAAATTCTTAAGAGGGACATTCAAGAACAAGAAAACAAACACAATTATTTTATTGTTCTTTTTCAGAGAAAGTTTTAAAGTAAAGTCGTAAGAAAAGAACATTTTAAGAAATAATAAATGCATTATGCATTAGGTTCATCGATTGATATTTGTATATTTTATGAATATACATGTGTATTATTTTGAATTCCAAAAAAGTATTCCCGCATGAGTTAATACTCTTTCTAAAAAAATCCTTTCAGCAGCTGCATCTTCTTTAAACATGTAATAAAGATGGCTTAAAAAAATACCACTGAGATTATTATTTTGATAATAACATCCGGAAAAAACGTCATTTAAACGCAACGTCCTTGTTTCTGAGATGTGAAATTTTGAGTCAGTTTACGTGAAGTGAAAGGCGGCTTTTTCACAATAAAAATATATTTTATAACATAATAGAATATTAGCTTTTAACATATAAGAGGCAATAGATTAGACGCAATGTTGCTTTGCTCCATTTGTTGCCACATGTTTCCTTTCTTTCCATTGATTAAGTAAATATTTGAATTTCATGGTACTTGACCACCATCCCCGGACCTGAGGAATCGTGCCCATGACATCAATCTTAATTAACTCTTTAAAATCGTTTTCACTATTAGACATCAAGCAACCGCACATTGCCATTTTACAATTAGTGTTGAGTCCGCAGCCGAAATGGCATAAAATAGCATGACGCCCGTTTCAGGGGTCCTGGCGTTAAAGGCGGGATTCTACTGGTCATAATGAGAGAATGCCTAAAAAATTCTTCAAAAATCTTTTTCATCCAAATATACCAATAGGAAAATTAAGTGCATTAAAATAATGAACAAATGGGTCTTTTAAAAAATTGTGAAACTTATGGCCTCACAGTTTGATGTTCTTGAAATAGGGGGAATCTATTGGTAATAGAGTGATAATGCAGACTTCTTTAAATATACCTTTCATTTTATAATAAACAAATGAATACAATTAATGATTTATTTATTTATGATGCATATTTCAGGTCGATTTTGCATTAATTTCATATAAGTATCTTGTCAGACTTTAAAGCAAAGTGTCAAGGAAATGATGTAAACCTATAATGAAAATTCACATAAAATAATCTCTGTGGCGTAAAACCTCAACTCGCTCTAATTACTGCAAGACGTCCCTTTCTCATACATCTGAATAGGAGGCTGACCGATCTGCTGCACACCTATTCGATGTTTCTAACCGCTGATTGAGATGGTGTGGAAGTGAGGGGTGGGCTTCTACATTATTTTTTAAAGACCCAAATGTGTTCAATAAGATTCAGATCCGGGGATTTGGCAGGCTAGTGCATTGCACAAGAAGTCTTGGGCATCTTACACTTAGGTGTACCTCTTTTAGGATGATTCAGACTGTTTGAGATGATACTGGACTGTCATAAGAACCAATTTGTCGCCATATTTTCGTACCATTGCGAGATCTAGAACCCCTCCCATCTGGTTATATTATGTACAATGCTTTCAAATTTTGATAAGTTGGCGATAAAAATGAAGCACAATCTATAAAAAAAATGTGTGTAATGTAATTTTAGGCCTTTCAACTAGTTTTTCAAGTTGCACATATGGTAAAAACATTGTATAGATAGATTTATAGGTACACGAAATTACCAAAAAAGGTAATAACTTATGCATACTTTTAATTACATCATTAAAAAGTTTAATAATTTATAATTGACTTTTCCGATGTTGTGTTAAGGACAGGTAACTCAGGTGTGAAAAATGAACAACTTAGTGCCGATTTATGAGTTATCGACTTCCTAAATGGTCATTTTTCAAATGTTTTTTTTTAGTTAGACTATTTGTAAAAAAAAAAAAAAGGACAATGGTCACAAAAAGAAGCTGATTACATGAAATATGTGCCAAAAGTTCAGATTTATTGCTTTTAAGCCTTGCCACAGGACATTGGTTTTCATTAATGTTAATTGATTTTCTATCGACAATTGTTGAGAAGACTCATTGGTGATAATAATTTGAGAATATCATACCTTTCATGTAGTTTTTAAACAAATTTATTTTTTAGAGTAAACACTTAGACTTTTTGTTAATTGTGAAATATTTATGATTGAATGGAGAATTAATCAGGTCTAATTTTATCGTCATGTTTTTTCCAGTGGAGACAAGCAGTCGTTCCCTTCTGTAAGCTAAGATTTTCTCTAATATTATATTTTTCACAACATCACTAAGTACTAAACAACTATTCATAATACCAAGTTCACTGCATAACGTTGTTTATATCTTAAAATTTTACATTTGCTGTGGTATTCTACTAAACTAGCTTTGAAATTGCGTTTTAGTGACGTCACAATGAGGGTACAGAGACAATGATAAAAATGCGAGATATGGGGCAGCTAGAATTCACATATTCACTATATTTGTTTCCTTTTAAACGTGTAAAATATAAATATCAGGTATTTATTTAAGTAATGTGAATTATTAGCTAGAAAATCAAACAAACTTCATATAAACATAGTTTTCATGAAGCACTACCGCGCTCTAAAAAAATCTGCCTACACGCCAAGTCTATGTGAATTTTACACATCCATAACTCACACAAAACTCAAAAAACATTCCTTTAACATCTACAATGTCAACGTTGAAGTATCAATTATTGAAAAATTGAAAATCATGTTTACATTTTTTGATTTCGGTTTTGTTTTTGTATGTTCATTTCCTTTATTTTTAATTTATACTAATCAAAAACTTGAAAAATATTATATCGTACCCTGCAATTGAGTTTAGAAGAGCGTGCAAACGCTGTCAGCATAAAATTGTCAGGATGTCTCTTTGGTGAAATTTGTTAAATATTATACAAATTCTTTTTTTAAACTGTTGTAACATAAGCTGATATTACGCGGATATCAACAAGTTTCGTTTAAGACCAGCATTTTGCAGATTTGGTGGTCGATAAAAAGACCTTGTAAGCAAATACAATCTATCCTTGAGCCGAAAGTTAGCAGAGTTTTGGTTCAAGTTGTACAGCATTATTTACAATATTTACATTATTTAGGGTCCGTGCTTTATGCCCTGTCTACCGATATCTTTTGTTTAAAGGTTTTTCTAGGATCGATTACTAATCGCTTAATGTTGACTTTCATTGCAATGGGGGTAAATAATGATAATTTACTATTTTAAATAGACGTGGTTATTTGTTTTTGTTCGTGTTACAATTAAAGGACTAAGAAAGGGGTATGTTTGACTTAATGAGGATTGTATGGACAAAGAGTCTCGCTTAATTGATGATTCTTAAAATCATCGCCTCAAAAGATTTCTTTAGTTAGATTATCGCACGGATTTTACTGACTAAGCTCAGAAATAAACAAATGCAAGTATTAATGGAACGATTAATGCAATATCAGAAACCAACATCATATTCTTAAGACTGTTTACTTCAAACCTTAGATTTTTGAAGAAATATTTAGCATTAACATAAATCAGAAAAAAATTTGAGAAGTAATAATTCTAAACCGAGGCAAGCTAGTAACAGATAAGTTGATGTTACTTGAATTTCGAAAACCTCTTTTAAAGTTGCCATTTTGTACATTGTTATAACGACTCTGAAGATAAATGTGATTTATCATTGATTTATATTTAGGCTGACTTGTTTCCTACTAAGTATTAAGCCTATGTTTTATACCTGAATTGACTACACAACATATCTTTGATCAATACATACTCAGGTAAAATTGCAACGCATGTTAACCATATGGTTTGAGAACCATATGTTGAACATAAGTTAAACATACGTTGAACATATGAATTTTCCACAGTATGTTTAACATATGTTTAAAACCTATGTCGAACACATGTTTAAAACATATGTTGAACATATAACCGACTCAAAACATACGTTGAACATATGTTTTGAGTTTGACACTTTTTACAAAAAAACATCTCCAACGTCAGGAAATGTTCAACAGCTCAATTTTCCTGCCAACAAAGTTGAGAGTTACCTTACATTTTAGATAAATCATAAATTAAAATCGTAATAAACTAAGTTCACTTATTCCCTTAATTTCTTGGTTACATTTTTTGGACTGGGTATACCTTTCATAGACCCCCCCCCCCCCCCCCGACAGAAATCTGTGGCCTGCTTTAAAGTCTTATATAAATTACACAAAATTTATTTTATGTTAATTTTTAAGCAATGTACTTCAGGTAAAAAAAAATAAATTCAAAAACATATCAAGATGAATTTTAATGTTTATTTACAAGAATGTAGATGATCATTTCTTGTAGACGCTCGCATAAAAAAGAAGGATGTCTACTCTGTTACTCTGCACCCTCATCCCACACTGTTCAAATCTTCACAAAATATTTTACTTTTTTAAAACTTAATTTATGATCAGGTAGAAACAAAAATGTATTATAAATTTTAAAACCGTTTTCATTTGGTTTATTCCGGACCGGTTTTGGTTTATATCGGATGAAAGTGTACGTCACATTTGACGTCACTGCTGCAGCAGAAGTCTTGGGTGTTGGAAAAAGGTAAGTGCTCTCAGATATTTTTTGAAGACTTTTGGCCTAGTTCATGGTGTTAAAATCATTTCATTACGGTCAAAGAGAAGCGAATAAACTTTGTGCATAGCGCAGCATTCCTATCCACAAGTACAGATCTAATGCAGTTCATAAAAGCCGAACCTGGTCTGCTGGTGATCAAATAAAAAAATTGGATTTGTTTATGATAAATGAAAAACCATACGGATCCAGCATTACCAATTTTTCATATAAATTTGTTTTTCTTTTGTCAATAGTTATTCTTACATATTATATACTCGATTCTCATTATATCGCGGGTTTCATTGTATCGCGGTATATTGAAAAAAATTGGATACATAGCCTATATCCCTTTTGTTGATGGACAATCTGTTTGTTTCTTAATGTTTACGGAACGACTTTACTTTACCGGTCCCCAGAAAAACGCGCTAAAATGTAGTGTCGCCGAAGGCGACTTCAGTATATATGAGATCGCGTGAGCGATCGAAAAAAAATTTAAATACGAGGTTTTTTGGCCTTTTGACCCCAAAATTGAATTCTACGGTTAAAAGTTTAGTTTAAAACTTTGTTTTTAAACAAAGTTTTTAACCTCGTTCTCTGAAAAAAATTAATAAATAGTTGTTTATTCATGGAAAAAATCGACAAAGAATAATTCTGAACGAAGCGCGTGCGGCGCATGCTTAATGTCATTTCTTTCGGACTTAGCCAATCTTCCATGTAAACAAACGAAGGAAATGCCTATGAATCTGAATTATGATCTTGGAAAAATTACAGAAACAACTGAATTTTTTAACTAAAAGAACGATTCACTAACCCTAATCCATCGTTGGTATGAAACTAAACGTTCACAAATCTCCCGGGCAGATTCTATAATCAAATAATGTGCGTAACCCTAATTTCTCGGATGGACGCGAGACTAACCCTAATCAGTCGAATACTAGTGAAGGACTAACCCTAATCTCTCAGGTGGGTGCAAGACTTAATCAGTCGAATAGTAGTGTGTAGATTAAACCCATTTCAGTTGAGTGACGTAGTTGTTACGTCATAGTCCAATGAGCGCGAGGATCTTGCGGATCTGGGGACCGGTAAAGTAAAGTCTACCCATGTTTACTTTTTTGATGATTAAGAAATATGGAACATCTGTTTGAAAAAAACAATATTCATATAAAACGTAATTTTACAGATTTCCAGTCCCGATTTATGATATTTAGACCATTAAATTTATAACCTAATAAAAATTTTAATAAAGTTCATCTTTTAAAAGTGTTTAGATTGTACAATTGTTTATTTTTCATGTAGACTTACATCAAAATTCAAAAATAAAAACTGACGTTCATGTCAACTAGAAGCATCCATGTTTTCCCATACCGCGATACAATGAGACTCTCCAATTTAGGAGGTAAATTAGACTTCTTGTTTTAAAACTAAACCACAAATTAAACGATGCAAGCTTGGAAAATAATTTGACACTAAAAAGTTAGGTCATAGTCAGCATTATAAATAATATTTGATAAAAGTTAAATGAAAAAATTCAAATTAAACTTTTTATGCAAAAGAATTAAGTACCGCGATATATTGAGACACCAGTATATATACACGATCTCGATATGAAAGTGAAAGTAGAACTGTAGAAACTTTGTGTAGCAGTTGAAGTAAAATGTTATGTTCAGATCGTTATCCATACGGTTCTTTTAACAATTTAATGAAAACTTTTTGTTTTTATTAGGCATATGTACTAAGCAACTTAAGTTCAGCGTCCCAGAGTCGTTTTTATTCAAAGAACCCATTGCCGATTTTATTGAGTGACGATGGAAGTTATTGACCCAATGCCGATTTTATTGGCGATTGCGTGATGACAAATCAGGTACATACAATAATAATCATAGTGTTTACCAGTAATGAGTATTCAAGGAATGAATATTTCCTGAGAAAATTCTTTTTTCACTTGTATCTAAATTCATGATTAAATGGCTTTTTAAAATATATCCAACTCTTTTTTTTTTACAGAACAATGTTCCAGCACATTTTTAAAAACCTGTAAGATATGAAGAGAATTTTCTGGCCCTAAAACAACGCAATATCTACATGTAAATGGGGATAAATTTTCATCTAAAGCAGACATACAAGGTACTACTTTATGTGTTCATGATTTACAAGTGTCAAAAGAACAATAAGAAAAAAAATGTGTGTATTCAATTTTATGAAATTAAAAAAATACTGAAAAAACTGAATTAAAAAACTCCAACAAGTATCAGTTAATTCATTGATTATTTATACATCAATTAACATTTTAATTCTTTTTATCAACACTAGAGAAACTAGTCTCTGTTGTAGTTATATATGCACATAATAAACTGTGTGAATTATTATTTGATATTTTTAAAGGTGTAATATACAGCCTGCCTTTTTCATAGTGAATACATTGAAGAACAGACACCATGACCCCAAGCTTGCTTCAAAATAGGTAAGGAAATAGTCTGTAATCAACTTAATTTTTTTTAATTTTTTCCCCAAGAAAGTTTTAGGATTATAATGTATTCAAAATGTCTGGGGTTTTTTATGCTTGTCTGTTTGTTTGTAGTATTTATTTTTTGGTCAAGGGTTATACATTTGTATCTCAATCATTGTGAATTATGCCTATAGCATGTTTTGCAATCTGCATTTACTATTTAAACATTCGAAATTCAATTGTCAAAATTTTGAAAAAGTTATTGCTATTGCTTAAAAGCTCACCTGAGCCTAAGACTAGAATGGGCTTTTTGGATTGAAGTCTGTCCCTTGTCTGTCGTTATTCTTGTCATCGTTAACTTTTCACAATTTCATCTGTTATATAGTTTCAAATCACATTACATATACCTTAATTACTTGCAGTGCTTTTTTGTATATCCAAGAGCTCAATCAGCAGAATCTTTACATTGTAGGCTCCACCCCTGCCTTAACATGAGAAGTTTTCAAATCGTTTGACCATTATCGAAGGGGCTGATGAAATTTCTTAAGTGCTCAAGGTAATTACTTTTTGTGGTAACATATTTTAATCAATAATACATGTAATTATCATGACGTTGGAACTTCTTGATTATTTAATTATTTTCTTCATCATTTCAGAAGCAATGCAGTCACTGTCGGGGAAACGAAGCCAGAATTGTGTAAAAATTTGAAAAATAAATGCAGGATTAATGCTTACAATTTTGTTCTTTTAATTTCTTATTGTTTGCTTAAGGCATTTAAGGCCAAGTTTAATATTTGGTTCACATTGCAATCCAAGGAAATACCAATTATTAATAGGAAAATGTAAGGAAAGAAATAAAATTAACATGTGCTCAACATATGATCAACATATGAACATAAACGTATGTTCATCATATGATCATACAAAACATATGAATAACATATGTTAAACATATAATCAACATATGTTTAGAAACATATGTTGAACATATGTTGCTCGTTTTTTATGGCGAACATATGTTTCGGAACATATGTTAAACGTATGTTCAACGTATGTTGAACATACGTTGCAATTTTACCTGTGTAGGGCTCACGGCGGGATTCAGGGGATGCTTACTCCTCCTAGGCACCTGATCTCACCTTTGGAATATTCTGGGTCCGTGCAATATGCCCGCTTTACAGAATTGTAACGTTTATATTTTTCGGAGATCGATCACTATACATTATCTCACATCTTTGTTGTTACGTTTTCTAATTCTTTTCAAAGGGTACTTCATGATGATTCAGCCCCTGTCCCCATTCAATTAAAATGTTTCGTCCGTTAGAGAAATCTTCCATTTTTGTAATCAAGTAATAAAAAGTCAAACTTTTTAAAACAAAAAGGAAATTGTTATATTTACTTCTCATGAGACATCCTATTACGTTATCGCAATCTTCATTGGAACAATAACACCTGTTCTGACATCTTCTACCATATGCTGGGTAAAAGCAGGAAATATTGCAGTTCATACCAAAGTATCCTACTGGACATTCTGTCAAAATTGGAAAAATAATTTTGTTAAATGTAGAATATTTTTTCGAAAATATACCTTGGTATTAAATAAAGATAATACAACCCTTAAATATCAAAATCTACATAAGTTAAAATACTATTTTAATGACGATGTAAAGTCCATAAAACGCTGAAAAGATTTTTTGGGTAGCACTTACGAGAAGAGTATGTTTGTTACAATATCTCTGAAAGTTTCTTGTTGCAAACTATATGCGATATATAGAATTTCATTATAGTATTTGTTTTCCTTCAGATGATAATTGCAGCCATTACTACAAACTTAGGGCATTCTTAGTGACAATGGCAACATTTTTCTATGAATTGAAAAAAACATTACTTGTATATCATGTATTTTTAAAATTGAACAGTAATCTAGGGAAGAGCAGTGCTTTAATTTATTGTTTAGAATCTTTTTATTACTGAGTTTAATCACTCTTATTTTAAAAAAATATTCCTCGTATATAAAATGACAAATTTGCATTAAGCAAAATATCTTTATAGAGCTAGCACAAAGGAAAAGTTTATATAAATACAATACATTTTATCGGGGTTTTTTTTTTTTTTTGGTCATCAAAATTGAAAAATTTTGGCATTATCTACTCTGTGTGAAAAAATAGCATTTGTGATAATCATGAAATTTGATAATTGTTATACCTACCCACACAATCTGTACCTATTGCCTGAAAATAAGGGCAGCATGTTTGTGTACCATCTGATCTGCAATGTACAACTTATTCATCTTGAATTCTTTGCACTATCTACTTTGAGCTAAGTATGATAGGGAAGACCTTAATTTTTTGTGAGAATGGATAAAATGTTTCAGAAATTTATTAAAGAATCGTAAAAAATAACTTGAAGGTAATATGCGAATCAATTATCATTCGCTTGGTTTTTTTTAAAATAAATTTGGGGTGATAAATGAATAAAGGAGATTAAATGAACAATACGTTAGGGTTTTACCAGAGGTTTGTAACATCTTTGTTAAACTCATGAGTATATAAAGTATTGAAAAAAACTTGAAGCTAGGTTTTGAATCTGCGTTTGAATCACAGCACTTTTTGAGGAAACAATTATTCAGGTACTTGAAGTTGATATTAAAAAGATGCTGAAATTCTTCATTGGCAACAAGAATGTAGTTTTCGGAGCAAAATTTTAAACAGAAACATCTACATGAAAAGAAACTAGAGGTACTGTGAGCAATGAGCTCACTAAATGATACCCCCGCCTCCCATATAAATATAATGGCAGTGTCCATGTTTTGCTCTGGAAAATCCATAATATATGTCAGATCAAACAGTAAAATAAGAGGTGCACAATGGCAATATGTAATAAAGATTCTGTGAAAGTTTCATTAAATTTCCTTCAGTGGTATGAGAGGAGTTGCGGATAAGAGATGGGTACCCCAAAGCATAACAGACGGACGGACGGACGTACAGACGGACGGACGGAAATACCGATTACTATATACCCTCCTACTTTTCAAGCGGGGGGTATAATTAAAGCGAATGGTTGGGTATTCATTATTCAATAAGGATATAAAGGTTCCTTTTTCAAAAATTTGGAAATGGTGCTACGGATATTCTATGAATGTTAAGTCGATGACTCTTATATCCGTTTGAGCAAGTGTGTATAGCCCTGGGGATATTATCAATTCTGCTGAAACAATGTACGCATTTTGAATGTTGCTTACTTTTTTATCTTATACGTGATTATGAAAACGAACAATATTAACATGCTCCCGCTTATACAGCGCACCAATGAGGAAATCAACTATGAATTGTTTACTGAATTAAATTTTATAATTTGCATAAAATATAACATTTGTTTTAAAAATATGAGCGATTGTATATTTGAAATCAATCAGCAATTTGATTTAACTACAGCTGCATGATAACTTTTAAGGTTTATAAACTATAACAAAAAGAGCAGTTGGTTTAGCACAAAAAGTTCTTGTACTCAAAGTAACAGCGATTCTGATAAATATATTTTGTTTACTTTTAACTGTAATCTTACTTTGGAGGTCCACATATTTTTTCACATATTCCCCAGAAGAAAAATACAGAAAATCCAAATAAAAACAATATTATTTTTGATATTTCCATGGCTTCACTTCTCTTTGTTCTGATCAACAGGAAGTTTAATTTATAACAATTGTTTGCATTTTTGTCAATGTTTTTATCATAATACCAACATTGAAAGTATATCAGATTTAGCACATGTACTGAAGAGGTATGAATTTGAAACGGAAATTGGTTTTTGTATTTAGTTTCGTATAAAACGTTAGTCATATGTTTTTGTTTAATTTGTTTTAACACTAAAATATATAAATTCTAAGATAATTTATGTAGTTTGAAACTGCCGAAGTACTGAGACTTCACTGAGATAATACACGCTGTATTATAGGAAACTCAGGATACATGTACCTCTCTGGTGACAGAGTTGTAAAACCTTGTCTGTTTATACTTTTTAACATCGTTAAAAGACCTGAAGACACACAATTGCAGGGAATAGACTTTAAAGGTTAATAACATTAGCTAAAATGTAAGATCTGTATAAGGCAGTAGTTTAATAAAGAGAGAGGTGGCATACCACAGAAGTGGGGGCAGTGGCAGGAAGCAACAGTACTTGTAGAGTGGCAGGACTAGTGAAATTCATCGCGGGAGACACCCGTTGACCACAGTTTGTGGTTATGCAATCAGGAGAAACCCCATTGTTTTATTGTATTATATTTCTATATATGTTATTTGGTCAATAAATATCTCAGTTAACAGTTTAACGAACCTGAGTGTAACGGCTCGGTGATACAAACCATATCAACACACACCCAGCTCGGCACCGTTGCACGTTTCATTATTTGGTGACAGCGGTGGGATTTTGTTGAACATGGATTCATATAAGAAAGTGTCAGAAACCATAGGCGGATAGAGAAGATGAGAACGCCAGCCAGCAATGATGGTGAGACAAATGCAGTAAGCCAAGACTCTGGATATGCGACATGCAGTACTGATAATCTACCGCCCGGTATGTTAGGAGATGTGTCATTTGACGAGTACGGCGCACTATGACACGCCTAAACCACAGAGGCTGTCAATAGGGACAGAGTATGCCAAGGCAGATCTAGACCATATAATCAAGATAGCCACGTATGATGGAACCAGTTCCTGGCTTGACTACAACTCACATAATGAGGCTTGCGCTGTTGTAAACGGCTTCACAGAGGATAAGAAGGGTATTTACTTCGCTATATCACTGCGAGGCCAAGCACAGTCAGTGCTAGGTGACTTGCCAAGGTATACTGGTCAGTACTACAACACACTTCTTAGATCCCTAGATATCCTATTCTAACCAAAGAGATCTGTACAGTTACAACAACGAAGACAAAGAGCATCTGAGTCAATACCAAAGGTAGGTCAGGCCATTAGACGAAAAACCACTCTGGTCTATGCATCAGCACCTGGTGAGGTGCAAGAGACTTTGGCAAAAGATGCCATTCATTGATGCCTTGGTAGATTCAGAGATGAGAATCCGGAACAAACAACCTCGTCCTCAAAACCTGAATGAAGCCATCCAGCTAGCCGTTGAACTCGAGGCTTATAATCGAGCAGACAGCAGAAACCTAGAAGAAGGATGTGGAGATAACGAACAATACTAGTATTCAATCTCAAAGTCCATAAAACAATACAAAATAGGAGAAGAGCAAACACGGACTTCCGAAACATCAGAGGTGGGAACAAGCAGCTGTCAATGATATCAAAAGAAAAGGAACATTTATACTAGTATAGGCAACAGAACTCTCATTTGGTGAGGTTGACCAAAACAGTCTTGAGACATGGATAAAGTCCATGGAGGCTAACATAAATAGATTAACCAACGAGATCCAAAAGCTGAAGCTGAATCGGTCAGTCAGTAAAACCTATGACAGACAAGCAAGAGGCAAACCATTGCGTTGTTATGAATGTAACAAGGAAGGCCACATAAAACGCTATTGACCCAAGCTGTAGAGACGATCCTGTGAAAGTGAACACAAGTATTCAAAAGAGAAAGGGGATTAAGCAGGCTAGTACGAAGTAAACAGACATCACAGAAAGTCTGTCCTAGTGGATCAATAGGAGTTGGATCTTGCCTAAGTGAAGTGAAGCAGGCATGTACATAGACATCTCTGTGCAAAGTGTCCAAGCTAAATTCCTGGTTGACATAGGAACAACACTGACATTGTTGTCCTCAACAGCGCACGAGAAAATTACAGAATGCATCTGACCAAAGCTGCAACAAGATATCAACAAAGAAAGATATTTTTTTCAACACACTTTTTAACAAATTTTAGAACTTTTGTTGTTTTATGTTCCTTACTAATTTTGTAAGTCCAGTCTATAAAGTTTTTTTCTTATTGCATCAGTCCATGGTTTTTCTAATATCACCTTGTGTTTACGTCAACAGTGAAGAAAGATACGGAGAGCGGTACCAGAGCCCAGAAAAAAATATATCAATGTTTATTTATTGATTCTTGCCACTCATCAAAATAAAAACCGATGCACAGAATTATGTATCTTAGTATAGTCTACTTGTGTGCCAAGTTATATTGAAATCCGACCAAAACTATAGGAGGAGTAGCATTTTGAAAAATTGTTTCCAGACAGACGGACAGCTAGACAGACGGACAGACGATGGACACATTACTATTGCACAAGCTCTTCTGGTCTCTGACCAGTAGAGCTAAAAATTACAAATTTAGTGAAATTAGATTCTTTGATTCACTCGTCAATGGATCACTGTATAATGTTCAGCAATTTATGAAGCAGACATGAAAGAAACCATATGTGGATTGGGGTGTTACCGTGTACCCCTCAATAATTAAATCCAATGGATATAATATATACACATCACACGATACAATAATCTTATCTATACAGTTGTCGTGTCCCCCCAATTATTAATATGAACTTTGTTTTTGCTTGTCAAAACATTATGTTTCAGTTGATCCCCCCTTCCTTCATCACCCTGAAATTTCTTCAACAGACCTGGCATCTAGACCTAGAGCTCAATTTTAAAATGTGGGTAAATCACATTCATATATAGCACATGACATCCCAAGGATCAAGTGCTAAAGAGAGTCAAGTATTCTCAATTGAAAACAATTTTACATACATGTACAAATTTATTATTTATCATGATTATTACATGTATTTTTAAAAGCAAATGTTTTTTTTCTTTCCTTTTTTAATAGTAGCTCTTATTGTAACAACTTTGAAAAAAACATGCATTTGATTTTTCTGAGTATACATGCAAATATATGCATATGCAAATAGATTGTATATAAAAAAGTAAGTACTCTAGGTATTTACATTGTACATGTATTTCAAATAGAGGTAATATAACATGTATAATGTGTTCAAGAAACATGTCAGTCTGCAAACACCTTGGTCAAATTGGTAAAATTAAAATATCCATGGCAAATTTAAATCCTTACTATTTAGTTGAAGCTAATCAGTATTTGTGTAAATAAGTGTACTTTATCTTTCAACAAAAATATGTACATGAGCGGTAATTTAAAGTTCATAAAAAACGTCCTAGCAAATTCAAAAGGACAATGTAAAGCCCTCTCTCTTTCAGTTTCTATCAGAAAATAGACTGTATGTGATTTCCCTACATTTATTCAAGATGAGATAAAACCTATGTGTTGATATCGTGATTTTTGATTATTGTTATCCCATATGAGTCCAACAGCTACAAGTAGGGCTGCCGCAGTCTGGATTTGAATTGAGGATTCTTCAAAATCTGTAATAAGGAGATTATACATTTCAAAGGAGTAGGGCCATTATTCTTCAGAGTTTAGTATCTATGATTTTATCAGAAAGAAATATGTTATAACAGAAATAGCACAGAGACTATCATTTATGATAATTATAATTTTGTAAAATGATTATAATATAAATGCATTTTGAATCTACAAGTGGTTTCAAATCATTGCAAATAGCCTTAATTGATTTATTAAACAGTTTCAAAAACTGCAGCTCCTTTCACACATTTCTCGACCTCTTTCTCAAGAAGAGTCAATCAATCATTCAACATAATTGCATTTCAAAGCAAAAGTTGCAATAAAGCAAAACAACTTGATCTCCTTTAAATTTGAAATATGAAGAGTTAAAACTTACTTAAGGCATATACTGTTTATATTGCCATGCAGTGTTGAAAGAGCACTCTTCTGAAAAAATAGATAGATACATGTAATCATGTATAATTACAAGAATTTGATAATTTCCTAATGAAATATCTTTGATAATTTTTAAACTCATTGCTGTTAAGTAAGATTCATATATTGTAAATATTCATTTCTTTAAACTAAGTATTTACAAAATAAAAATTGGCTTTGCAAATTTGAGGAAGATCTTAGCATATTACGAATTATTCATGCTTGTAATTTGGTGGTATTATGTCAAAATGCTACTATATTTATCTACTTTTTGATCCAATTTCATGGGCTTTTTATAACAGATGGAACAAAAAATACATCATTTTTATTTTCAAACCTTTAAATTCCTATTTTTTGATTTGAATATATGTATTTATTCAGGGATTTACTTTAATTTCAAAACTAATTTGTTTGTTTAAAATTCAAATAACAAAGTTTGAAAGCACAATGGCATGTACCTGCTACTTACTTCATGTACTTACTTCGGCCTGTCGTTCTGTGAGGAACATAGGCCATCAACGACAGTCCTCCAACGTCTTACGAACTCGATTCGGAGCTGCTTTAGCTGCATCCTGTCATGTCACATCCTGTGTCTTTAACTCTGACTCCGAGTCAAGCCTCCAGGTGTTTCTAGGACATCCTCTCTTCTACAATAATGTTAAATTGTGTAAAATTGCACATTTATGCTTCATATGCATGCACCATGGATATTTTTTCTGGTGTAACTATACATGAATCAATATTAAAATCCTTTTGGTTTCCTTTTATTTCTTCTTTTTATTTATTTTATTTCTCCTTGTTTAATTGACTGAACATGAATTTGAGGATAGTCATACCTTATTTTATGCATGTAAAATATTTGTTATATTTATGAACTGTGTATTTTAAAATAAAATATATATAGATATCACTCAATTTTAAAATT